GTATGACCACAATTGAGCCTAAAATTTCTGTTGTTAAGTGAGACAGTTAAGGGAATTTTGCCCCATTTTATGATATTTCTTGCCACAGTTAAGTGAATCACTGCTGTTGTTAAGTGAGCAACATGGTTGTTAAGTGAATGGCTTCCCTATTGACTTTGTCAGAAGGTTGCAAAATGTGATCACATGATCCCAGGACATTGCAACCGTCATAAATATGAGTCAGTTGCAAAGCATCCAAATTTTGATCATGTGACCATGGGGATGCATGCAATAGTTGTGTGAGAAAGGGTCATGTCACTTTTTTCAGTGCCTTTGTAACTTTGACCAGCCACTAAATGAACTCTTGTAAGTTGTGGACTACCTATATATTGCTTCTTATTCAAAAAATTGCTGCACTGTTTACCATGCTATTCATGCAACCATCCAAGTCCTGCATTAAAATGTATGTCAAAACATATAACGAAACACAAATGAAGCAATAAAATGAATAATAAAGCAAGAATGATTGAAAAGCAAGAAAAGTCACAAAAAAGTCTTTACCACGTGCAGCTGTGGGACACTCTGATCATTGCATGATTCATAACTTTAAGACTTGTGGACTTCAATTCCCAGAATTCTGGGAATTCTGGGAATTCTGGAAATCTTATGGCTAAGATTAGGACACACTTGTCTAGAAGGAGACCAAGCAGCCTTCCTATATATGTTGATTTTTATTAATTTTAGGGTCTGACTGAGAGCTGACAAAAGGAGCGAAGAGAACTGTAAGCTTTTGAATCAACCTTTTAGAACTCAATTTCTGTCTTCTGGGCCTGGGACTACCAAACATTTCTACTTATGCATGAACAGCTGTTGGGAATGAGCAGAATTGGGGCGTTCCATCTGTGGTTATTAGTCCTTACAGGTTTCCTTATCTCTCAAGTCATTTGCAGTGGACAAAGGTTGTACATGCAAACTAGACCAAGGATCACTTCACATGGAAGATTGCACCATTTTTTATTTTTATTTTTTTTGGAGAGGTGGGCTAGAGTTTTATTATTCCATTATCAGGAGGAGCTGCTGACTGTGGCCAGGTTGTCACGACAACCAGCCCTGATGCAAAGCTGTTCTGAAAAAGTCTGAACCTCCAGCGTCTAACCAGCCCCTTAAGCTCTCAGCAGATGCTCAGCTCCCATCCAGCCAATCACAACTGAGCTGGGAAACCATGACATCATAGTCCACAGCCAGTCCAAAACTTGATTGTTGAGTTTTCTGTGCTATTCCTGCTCCTTTTTTTTTTTAATGCATCCTCTGTCGTAAAGCATCTTTATCTATGTGAAGCACGGCAAAAAAAAGGCAAAAAATAAAAAGACTTAAAAAGAATCCCCCCCCCTCCCCGCCCCAAAATAACAATCTCTCAGGATTGCTGGTCTGATCCTTTGTGTGGCTGGTAGGTTGAAAGGGTGGTCATCATCACAGATGCTGGGAAAGAACAGTGAAATTAGGAAGAGGACCTTTATCTGTTTTCCTGAAGTAACTTGGATCTTGCTAAGTTTTTTCAGCAGCCCCGATGGGTTGCAAAAAGGAACATGAATGCTGTTTTTTATGTGCTCGGAAATATTCTCCCCATTTAGCCTTGAAGGGGCTTGCGATATGCTTATGTGGTTGGTTGCGCTAGACATCACACAAAATAAGAACGGTAACGGTAGCTTCTAACCTCATTTGGATTCACAATTTTCTCAGATCTGTAAGTGAATGAGTGGGTTTACTTCCCTCCCCCAAAGCAAGATTGGAACTAAGAAATGGGCAGGACAGGATCAGAATAACAGAATAACAGAGTTGGGAGGGACCTTGGAGGTCTTCTAGTCCAACCTCTTGCTCTATTCTGTCCAATCTCTTCTTAAAAACCTCCAGTGATGGAGCACCCACAACTTGTGAAGGCAAGCCGTCCCACTGGTTAATTGTTCTCACTGTCAGGAAATTTTTCCTTAGCTCTAGGTTGCTCCTCTCCTTGATTAATTTCCATCCACTGCTTTTTATTCTGCCTTCAAGTGCTTTGGAGAATAGGTTAATTCATTTTTTTTAAAATTTGATTTATATGCCGCCCTTCTCCGAAGACTCAGGACGGCTTACAATGTGCTCAGCAATAGCCTTCATCCTTTTGTATATTTTATACAAAGTCAGCTTATTGCCCCCACAAACTGGGTCCTCATTTCACCTACCTTAGAAAGGATGGAAGGCTGAGTCAACCTTGAGCCTTGGCGAGATTCGAACCCTGCAGTAATTGCAGGCAGCTGGTCTTAATAACCAGCTTAATAACAGGGTGCCTTAAACCCCTGTACTACCAAGGCTCTTGGTAGTTGATATATAATGTAATCCTGTCCCAGTTTGTATAGTTATTTATTTATTTATTTATTTGTCAAGCATATATAAGATAAGAGGTAGAAGTATAAACATAATTTGAATACATGAAAAGAGTAAGAGTAAAAAGGAATATTAGGACAGGGACCAATCGGTTTAATGTAAACCCAGTGACACATGCTAAGACTGGTTAATATGCATCTTGATTAGGTTTTGTATGCTATATGTTGAAACCCAGAAAATAGATGAATAAAGCATGCGGTGCTAATGCAACGTATGAAGTATTTGTCAGAACTGGAGGTGACCTTAGAGGTCTTCAAGTCCAACTGCCTTCTCAAGCAGGAGACCCTATAACCATTTCAGACAAATGGCTTTCCAGTCTCTTCTTGAAAACCTCCAGTGATGGAGTAACCACTGCTTCTGAAGGCAAGCCGTTCAGTTAATTGTTCTCACTGTTAGGAATGTTCCTATCCCTTTTATATTCCTTATACCAAAATAAGAGCATTTTGGTGGCAACTATTGAAGTAGCTTTCAAGGTTTCTCAGGGCTGCATGATGCCCCAAATGGTTGATGAGAATGCTTCTGCGTCTCCCCTACCTTCCCCTCCCAACCCCAAGATTACAGGGGTCTTCCTGAGAAAAGGACATGGGGATCACAGCAGTATCTGGATGATTATCCCCACATACAGAAAACAAACAAAAATAAACTGGAATAGTAAGGCATGTCACGCATTCTGAGAAATGGTAGGTTTTTTTGTAACACTTCCTCACCATTGTCATTTATTTCCAATGTCTCCAAACACTAAACATATCAGTCTCCTTTAAAAAATCTTTTTCACTGCCAACCTAAGAAAGAGATGGAGCCAAAATCTGCCCAGTGGAGCTTCTTGGAGTTTGGAGAGCATGTAATGGGTGCCCACAAGAAGTTGGATATCGATGGTGGATTCTGATGGATTTGGTCAACAGAATTATCAACAGAATAACAGAGTTGGAAGAGACCTTGGAGGTCTTCTAGTCCAACCATCTGCTCATAGGAGACCCTATGCCATTTCAGATAAATGATTGTCCAGTCTCTTTCGGAAAGCCTCCAGTGATGGAGCACCCACAACTTCTGAAGGCAAGCTATTCCATTGCTTGATTGCTTTCACTGTTAGGAAATTTCTCCTTAGTCCTAGGATGATTCTCGATTAGTTTCCATCCATTGCTTCTTGTTCTGCCTTCAGGTGCTTTTGGAGAATAGGTTGACCTTCTTTTCTTTGTGGCAGCCCCTTAGATATTAGAACACTGTTATCAGGTCACCCCTAGTCCTTATTTTTATTACACAGACATTTGCAACTTTTATATGTTTTAGCCTTCAGTCCCCTAATCAACTTTGTTGCTCTTCTCTGCACTCTTTCTTGGTCACAAGTACTTCTTTTCCCAGAAGACCAAGTGCTGAGGCCTCTTCTCATTCGCCTTCTCAGGCCTTCTCCCAACTTCAATTCTTTGTCTTTTAACCTGGCAAGGGGACACATTTCTGAGCAAAGCATTAGATAACAGCCACCTATCTTTGACAGTAATGATTGTGTTACCCATTTTATGTTGTTCATATTAATATGAACAAAAGATAGTCTTACTCTGCTTTGTTGTGTGCCTGACTTAACTGATATGAACATGAGCCCAGGAAGCACCAAAGGAAGTTCCAGAGAGACGCTGGCATTCATGGACATCTTGGTTTCTATATCTAGTATAACTCTATCTCCTGAAAAACATCAGAAGAACTGCTTTGGATCAAGACCATAAATCTTCCTAGTCTGGAACTTCTCATTTCCAGCATTTTATATAATATTAAATTTTTGAAGTATGGCAAGGCAACACCGTCATCTCCATGGTCTCAAGATGTTTCATCATAGCAAATTAAATCCCTTAATGTGAAAGTTTCAGCATCATCAGAAATGTTCTCCATGGAGAAAGTTAATACTTCTTCAGGTTGCTCTGGAATTAATGCTCCAACTTGGGCTATCAGTTCTGTACCAGAAGAGGCCCCATTTTTATTTGTTTATGTCTGGTGAAGAACAAAACAAGTTGGCAGGAAAAAAACAACAACTTATACAGATGCTCGTGATTCTGCTTTTCTTTCCTCCTTGTTGATTTTTTTAAAAAAAATGGTTTTAAAATGCCCATAAAATGCCCCTGTCCGATTGAACAAGGAGATATTGGCTGTTCTGTCATTGGGTAGAAGGGAAGAATCCTGCAGGCAACCAGGTTTGGCTGGATTCTGGAGATAGTCTCATATTCCCTCTTGCAGAGGGAGGTAAACTTGACAAACAGAATTCCAAACCACTAGGCAAGACTTTCAAAACCTTGTTTTAAATTTGGACAGGCCAGCTTCAATTTTCCTTAAATGTTCTGGTGAATTGAGTTGCCTATGTCTTTTGCCTTCTGAAATTACTCTTTTTGAGAGGGAAAAATGTTATAGTCCTCTTGAGCACAAAGCAGTAAACGCTAGTCCCACATGATCTGGTTTTTGCATCTGTCCCTCCCTCCCTCCCTCCATGGGATTTTTCTTTCCTGGCTAACTTGAAGGCTCCCTCCCAATTCTCTTCTGAACTTGGCAGCATCCCCTCTTTTCTCTTCTTGCTACTGGGGCTTTCTTTGCTTACTGAGGGCGGGGAAGCCTTGTGCTTTATGTAAGGCTCAGTTTCTGACCATCCGACAGCAGCCCGCAACCAGCTAAGTTGGGTGTGCGGCTGAATTCAAGTTTCCGCCCTGGGTCTCCCTCCTTGCAGTTCTGGAAGCTGCCGGTCTTTGAAACATAAGATTTGTCGACTCCAGCTCTGCCAGTGCTATTAGAAGTATTATTATCTGCTTCCCTGCAGCCAATCCGGGCTGTGGAAACCTGATGACAGCATGAGCTAGGGAACAGCAAGGAGGCACTGAAGCATCCCAGCTATTAATGCTGGTTTGGAGGTCAGGAGTGGCTTTTGGGGGAACGAAGACCCTTGGATGGACTAAGCCAGGAACGTGCCTTCCTCTGGTGTCCCCCCACCTCCTCTCTCGTGCAAGCCTAGGCAGGGCATCTGTTCCTTGGGGTCTTTTTCTTTCCTGCCGAGAGGTGGATGGTTTGGAAGCAGTATGACAGGACACACTGCAGGTAATGTCTCCTCTCCACCCTTTCCACCCTATTCCCCCCCCCACCCGGTTCACCCTCCTCCCCTCCCCCCCCGCACCTGCTGTCCAAGGCCCCAAGTGTTTTTGCTGGGGTGGCCTGTGTGCTTGACAAAAGAGGAGAGCTGAGAAGGCAGACAATGTTCAACATGGATGGGAGGGGAGACTGGTAAACACACCTCTGGCAAGGGGGCCTTTCTTCTGCGTTGTACAGCCTGGGGTTTTCCTTTCAATGCTAGGCTTGGCATTTCATTCCTTGAGCGAAGGGAGGGTCCTCCCTCCCTCCCTCCCTCCCTCCCTCCCCCTTCCTTCCTTCCTTCCTTCCTTCCTTCCTTCCTTCCTTCCTTCCTTCCTTCCTTTCTCAACATCTCCCTTGCTACTACCTGGCTTGTAATCACAGATGTCATAGCTGAAGTAGCCTTGGTGGCTGCATGTCAAATGCTAACAATACCAGGCTTTGATTGGAGGCGGGTGGGTGGATGCCTGGCAGTCTTTTGCCCAGATGTCTGCCCAACATGCCTTCAAATTGCACCTGCCTCCAGCTTGCTCCTGGAAGGGAAGGTCCCCCCAGCCCCCAATGGGGAGAGAGGGGAGTTCTTGGTTCTGCTCCCAGGTGTGTGACTCATTCCTGCTCCCCAAAGAAGGGGGAATTGTTTTTCTAGCTGCCCCTTTGTCCCCGAGCTGTGTGCCATTCTATTATCCGAGCGAGGAAGCTGCCTCTGCTGATCGTTCTGCATAAGCAGCCTCTTCCCTTCCATGTCTTCCTTGAGCATCCAGAGGCAGGGCTTTTTCTTCTTGAGGTGGGACCGACCGCAGGGTCGATGGCTGGAAAGAGAAGCAAATCTGGTAGTCGACAGAGAGGAAAGCCTGGGCTAAACGCAGCATTGGGTTGGGAATGTCTCCCCAATCCCTGGACCTGAAGCTCTATGGAAAGGGGCCTGTGATTCCCAGTGGTTTATTCCTGATGTTTCACAAAAGGGCGGCTCTTTCGTTCCCCGTCTGGTCTCTCTAAAAGTGAGGTGGTTAATATCACTTGCACAGGGGACTTGGATGTGGTTGGTTTGTTCTAACAACCATGGATGTGTGTGCTTTGCTTCTCGCCCTCTTGATAAATGCTAAGAAAGAACATGGTGGCTTCTGTCTTTGCTTGTGATTCTCTGGCAGGTTCGGCCCTTGCTTGCTTCTGGTCTGGGAACGGCCCTGATTATGCTGTCTCTGCAGTGCACTGAGGGATGGTCTGGTAGGGATAGGAGCCCTGTGTGTATGTGTGTGTGTGTGTGTGTGTTGGGAGATTCCAAACAGACTACCTATTGTCGTATTGGGAGGAGGATCAGGGAAGGATAATAGCAAACATTGGGCCCTTGTGAGGACTGGCCTCAAGTGGCCCTCAGTGGCACCTCCTTCATTCAGACATGATCACACTGAATTTAGTTCTGGATGGCCAGATGCACAGCTGGTGACAGCAGAGAGGAAGGAAAAGGGAATTGGTAGCTGAAGGATGCAAAGGAAGCAGCCGGATGGGAAATATGGACCGGGGATGCATGAGATGAGGAAACAGAAAATTTGGAAAAGAGAAAGAAGAAGATTGGGCTATGGATGATGGACACTGTAGGAAAGGAGGAGGTGGGGGGATCTGCAGAGTGTGGCTGAGATTTGAAAGGGCTTCTGTAGAAAGGGGTCAGCCATGAAGCCTGGACAGTCTTCGGTTCACCGATTATCAACTGTGCTTGGGTGGTAAGATCTCTGGGGGGTGTAGATCCAACTTGATTGCTCTTAGTTGTTCTCTTCCCTGAAAGGAAGTAGAGAATATGTTGACCCTGCAGACCTCTAGTATGGGTGGTGGGTCTTCCCCATCTCTTTTGATGCAATACTTTCTCCTTCAAAACTGAGACGCCCAGGAGTAAAATGTTTCTTTAAGTTCCTGCTTTCTTCCTACTGTGTTTTATCGCAATCTTTGTCTCCTCCTTAATTTTGCTCATTGTAGTCAATGATCTGATAAATGGAATGAACAAGGGAGCTCCCAAATAGTGGAAGAACTCTAAATATTCTCTTTCAAGTGAGAGGTTTTCTCAAATAAAGGGGCCTTGAATAAAAGTGATCCACACCATTATTTCAAAGGCTGAATTGGGCTGGGGACCATAGCAATCTTTCCATCAGGAATGTCCAACTTTGGCAACTTTAAAAACCGTGGACTTCCCTATGGCTGGCTGAAGAATTCTGGGAGTTGAGGTCCATAAATCTTAAAGTTGCTAAGGTTGGACATCCCTCCTTTACAACTTCCTGGTATCATTAGAGTGTGCATCTTTGGGCAGTGCAGAACTTGGGCATTGAGGCAATTTGCTTCAGGAAGAAAATGAACTTTGGTGGAATCCTTTGCTTGGGCTAGAGCATCATTTTTCTCTGGACTTGCACAACCTAGTAAAGATGGTAAAAGTAGAGATGGGTAACTTGTGATTCAGCTTGATGTGATAGCCTCGTTACTGACTTAGCATGTTGGATCAAACAGGGCACCGATTAAGCCAGCATGTGATTTAATGTTGAGGAACATCAAATTCTGTATTAATCATTGCTAACTTTAGGCCGGTACTTTTCAATCTTAGCAAATTTGCAAATGGGTGAGCTTCAACACTCAGAAATTCCCAGGATTCTGGGAGTTTAAACCCTTCCTTGTCAGTTAGACCAATCAATCAGTGGAATGACTTGCCTTCAGAAGTTATGGATGCTCAATCACTGGAGGTTTTTAAGAACAGATTGGACAATCGCTTCTCTGAAATGGTATAGCTTGAGCAGGGAGTTGGAGTAGAAGACCCTCAAAGTCCCTTCCAACTCTAGTATTCTTTATCCTTCCTTCATTCTTTCCTTCCTTCCTTCCTTCCTTCCTTCCTTCCTTCCTTCCTTCCTTCCTTCCTTCCACTTGCACCAAGCCATCTGTTACATGCAGCCATTTTGGAGAAATTGCTGTTGGACTGATTCTATCAACTGAGGCAACTACAAGATTTTAGTCCCTATCCTTAATTTACGAGATAAAGCAAAACAATAACAATGGCTCATTGTAATATCTGAGATATTAGTCAATAGACACTGAGTGTTGATTTGCAAGAGTAACAGCTGATTTAGCTCAGCCACAAAAGAAGAGAATGGGATTTCCTTGTTTTATATTAGGGTTTCATGTAAAATCATCCCACAACCAACCACAAAATTGAAATTGTTAATGTACCAGAAATAAAATGGATTAAATGCATAGGCATTGCTGTCCCATTCTGTGACAAGCCTTGTGGTTGTATTTGCCCAACATGCCGAAACTGGCTTCTTTTAATGTTGATCGGTCTGGGGGTGGTTTAATGTACTGCAGGAACTCAGCTCAACTAACCAAGGAGAGAGGCGACCTGGAACTACGGAGGAACTGTTTCCTGACAGTGAGAACAATAAATCAGTGGGATGAGTTGCCTTCAGAAGTTGTGGGTGCTCCAACACAGGAGGCTTTTCAAAAGAGAGTAGACAGCCATGTTTCTGAAATGGTATACGTCTCTTGTTTGAGCAGGGAGTTGGACTAAAAGACCTCCAAGGCCCCTTCCAACACTGTTATTCTGTTATTCTGTCTCAAATGTCAACTGGTTAGTATAGAATTCAGTATATTGTGTGAACTCAGGAAATCATTAATTCATTAGCCAGGGTGAGGGTGTGATGCAAATACAGACATAAAGGAACGTACAAAGCCTAGGTAATAGATGGGAATGCAACCTAAAAATAGTTTTCATTAACTCAGACTGAATTTTTATCCTTTCTTTGTTCTGGATTCAACTTCTTTTTCAGGTAGACAAGATCACAATGATCAAAGGCCAGAGGCCTTGGCCGGGCTGTTCCACTCCTTAAAAGAGCCATTTCTTTCCCAGGCTAACCCACAGCCTGAGGATCCCCTAGTGGTCATCCATCCAAGTAGTTACCAAGCTTGTCCCTGCTTAGCTCCTGAGCTTGAACACAATTGGTCAGATGGTGAGCCTAATAAAGAGATAGCAGAATAACAGAATAACAGTGGGAAGGGACCTTGGAGGTCTTTCTAGCCCAACCGTCTGCTTAGGTTGGAAACTCTATACAGGTAGTCCTCAATTTACAACAGTTCATTTAGTGACCATTCAAAGTTACAACGGCACTGAAAAAAGTGACTTATGATCATTTTGCACACTTACAACCTTTGTAGCATCCCCATGATCATGTGATCAAAATTCAGATGCTTGGCAACTGGTTCATACTTATGACTGTTGCTCTGTCCCAAGGCCATGTAATCACTTTTTGAGATCTTTTGACAAGCAATTTCAATGCAATGTTAAACCAGATTGACTTAACAACTGTGTAACTAATTTAACAAGCTCAATTGTGGTCATAAGTCAAGGACTACCTGTACTATTTCAGACAAATGGTTGAAATCTCTTCTTTTCTTTTATGTACACCAAGAGCGTATGCACCAAGACAAATTCCTTGTGTGTCCAATCACACTTGGCCAATAAAGAATTCTATTCTATTCCCATTCTATTCCATTCTATTCTATTCTATTCTATTCTATTCTATTTATTCTATTCTATTCTATTCTATTCTATTCTATTCTATTCTATTCTAAAAACCTCCAGTGCTAGAGCACCCACAACTTCTGAAGGCAAGTCATTCTACTTGTTAATTGTTTTTACAATCATTGTAAGCAAAATGCAATAGATTGTATTTAAATGCAAAGAAATGTATAGGATTCTTCCCTTTGAAGACAGGGAAGGTTTATCTGGCTGAGGGCTGTTGTCTTTCCCATCTTTTTGTGCAGGGTTTTCCATGGGGCAGTTGCTGGTGATTTTGTGCAGGGGGGAAAAACTTGTTCTCTAAACCTGACGTGTAAGGATGTGAGAAGCTGTGCACAAAGGAACCTTTTAAGCTGACGTGTAAAATGATGTGTGTTTTTTGAACTGCAGGCAAACAGCGAAGGCAAATGGTTAGGGCTAGGAA